CATGAATTTAGGATGAGGTGTTTAACAGTAGCTCAACATCTAGGAAAGAACAGCTCCAGGTAGGTTGGTACTTGGTGCTTCCATGAATTCCAGTCCCTCCCCTGTGTGTTGTCCCTGGCAGGTTTGCTCTCATCGGGAGTGCTGTCACATTCCCCACAGTTCCTCCTCCTCCTTGTATCTCACTCCTGCTGAATGAATGACAACACCCTCTTATGAAAAACAGCTGCCATTGTGTAAGTGTGGCAGGAGCCAATCTCAGCTGCTTTGTTCTGTGACAAAGCAGGAGCAGCTGCCAACATGAATAGTCAAGGTGAGGGTGAGGCTTTCAGTCCAGCAGCAAATTGATTTGCCTCAAGTGTAGGGCAGGGCAGTAGGAACACCACTGTTCTCTAGCAAATCACTAGAGAAAAAAATGGAAGGAAACATTCTTTTCCCTTGCTAGGATGAAAACTTTAGACACAGGGATGTCTAGAAGACTTCTGGTATTGGGAGAATGTGAGAAAAAAAGGAGTAGCTTAGGCAAAAATTGAAATGCTTGAATCCAAACGCAGAAAATCAATGAGCTTCAATTGTTGTCCAGACTTACTTGTTTTAAAAGCCTTTGTATGTCACCAAAAAGGCTCTGTAATTCCTGTTGCTATTTACTGTGTCTGGGCTGTTGATGTGTCACCAGACAAGGGCTGGTGACTAAGGAGATCTCAACCTGGTGCTAAAGGCCATGGACAAATCTCTGGGAATAAAACGTAGTTCTGACTTGATATAAGGAAACTTTTTCACCCTTTGGGTAGTCATCCAGTAGAACAGGTTGCCCAGACAGGCTGATCAGTCTCTCCCTTGGAGGTCTTTAAGATCCAACTCCAGCCCTGAGCACTGTGGTCTGATTGTGTTGCTGGTCCTGCCCGGAGCAGGAGGTTGTGCTGGGACTTCTGAAGGTCCCCTGCAGCTGGAGTCATTCTGGTGCTCTCTGTTGGCAGCAAATCCTGCCTTGCTGCCCATTTCCCTTGGCTGTTTGCAAAGGGATTGTTCAGATTGTTCCTTTGGGCAGATTTAAATCTAGAGGAGGCTGCAAAACGTATGAGGCAGAGAAGAATTTCCATCTCAGCAGAGATCTGTCTGCCCCTAAAGCAGCATTGATCTCTAGTACCCTGAAAGGCCTGGGAGTCCCCTCTGAGGGGCCAGATCGGTTCAGATTTTGTGTTAATTGGTATTTAAATTATATTAATTTGCCACTGTGATTCCACAGTGTAAGCTGCCACTTCCTTTGGGTAAAATTCACTCGTAGAGTAAGATCCATAGAGTGTTTCCCTGCTGCATTTCAGTCCTGCTTGTACACTGGAGAGGCTGAACAGGGGGCTTAAATATTGGCTTAAATATCCAGCATCCTGAGGTAGCCACATCATTCCCTGCAGGAGCTCCAGGCAGTCCAGGCCACCTCTCTTTTTCCATGGAACTGTCGCTCTGTCACTGCACAGAAAGTGGGACTGGACCCGTGGACAGTGTTGTGTGTTGGAAGAGCATCTGCAGCTTTCCAGTCCATCACCCCCCTGGATCTTCTGCCCTGTCACATCTCAGCAGCCCTGGATCACACAGAAGTGCCGAGCCTAAACCAGAAAAACATCTCTGACAGTCACAGTCTTGGTTTTGCTGAGCTGATATAAATCACATCTGTTAAAACAGTGTGATGTGTGGGGAGTGGTGTCTGTGTCGAAGGTGGAAGCTGGTCAGGCCAAAAAATGCAGCTTTGATGATTGTAGGCATTCAAAACCTTTAAAAAATTAAGTGATAAATTCTGTTTGCTTTCTGGCTTTTTGATCTGCCATCCCTTCTGCCCTCTCTTCGAAGATCTCACTTGTTAAGGACAGTAACCAGTGGTTTGCTGATGCTGTCCTGGTTCTGACTGGTTCAGGGCTGCCCTTTTAAACCAGGTTTTGTTGCTGCAGTTTTTAGTAAGGTTTTGCAGGGTGTAGCCTGGCAGTGGTGGAGCGATGGGCTGCTGTTGGAAGGGATGATGTACAGACTCAGCAGCTCCCTTGGGCTGACAGTGGCATTTGACTGGCCATGCATCAAGTTATTCAGAAATCTAAACTGGCAGAAAATCAACATTTTTTTCCTGCCATCTAGTCCCTGGACTGGCTTGTGATGAGATCAGCTGAGCTACTGGCAGCAGCACAAGTAAGAGGCTGGAGGGAAGGGGGAGAAGGGCTCATCTGTACCATGAAACATTCTTTTAGCCTTCATTTCTCTTGTATTTCGAGTTCATAAGCCCCATCTTCTTAGCCCTGCTGTTCTCCCCACAACTGCAGCACCCCCTCCTCCCTTGTGCCAGTCAGGAGTTTGGGCAGACACATACTGAGCTGGAGTGGAGAATTTACCTGGCTTAATTTTGTTTGGATGGATTAGTTTTCTCCAGGTTTCTTTTGTGTCACTGCACAAGTGCTGCCCCAGAGCAGGAGTGGTAGAAGGGAAGGAGCAGGAAGCAAAGCAGGGAGGCTGCTTATTTGTCTGAATTGGAATTGCCAGCTTCAGGTGTCTTAATGTGTGCCAGGAATTACAGTATCAGGCAATGGTTGTTTCTGTGCCCATTATTTCACTGGGCTGTGAACGTTCTAAATGTGCTTTCGGAGTTCATGAATTTGTCTCCATGACATTTGGGAAATGTCCTTTTCTCTCTGTCCCCTTTTTTTCCTTTCTCTGCCGTATGCACTGTGTCAACTGCAACAGCCAGTGGGGTTGGGATTCAGATGGGTGACTGATTCCTCACATATCCATTTGTCCCAAAGACACAGCAGTGGGGAGGCTGCACTGGGAATGTTTGCTGGGGCAGGGGCAAGACTGGTTTAGATCACTGACCATCTTTAAATCTTGTGACTGACTGGGAGGAAGAGGTAGGGAAAGAAGAGAGCAACTGTGAGGCTCAGTCAGGAAATGTTGTGACCCACTGTTGGAATGGGTATGTTCATGGAGACCAAAGGAGACACTGGTAGTGGTTACCCTTCTCAGTGGAACTGAGCTGTGCAGGTGTGTGGCTGCTGTGTGGTGCAATCACAGAATCCCTGAATAGTTTGTGTTGGAAGGGACCTTAAAGCTTATCTCGTTCCACCCCCTGCCATGGGCAGGAACACCTTCCACCAGCCCAGGTTGCTCCAAGCCCCATCCAACCTGGCCTTGAAAGGAGGTCACCTGTACCATGGTCAGCAGCCCGGAACAAGGAGGCAGGAACCTTTATTGGCCCACTTGCCATGATCACACCATCCTCAGCATCCCTGCACCTTCCCTCTCCTTTCATCTTTGGCCCCACTCTTCTGTCCTCCCTGTCACTTGTTCCTTTACAAAGGAACTCATAAAGAACAGTGTCCTCAATAGAATGTTTCAACATGCTTGTGTCTTTTCCTTCCTCATTCCTGCAGATGGAATTGGCTTCTCCTTGCAGAATATTTTCCCATCACTTTGGAGGTTTCAGTAATTTCTATTGATGTGGGTTGTGCTGGAGTGTCTCATCCTGTGTGATTGGGCATCCTGACCTTTCAGCTCTGTCACCCTGGACACTGTCACACCTGCTCTGGTTTTGCAGGGTTATTCCTAGGTCCAAAGGATTCATTAGCAGCCTTCCCAGCATCCATGGATGTCTCTGTTAGCATTGGAGAGTTTGTAGAGCAGACAATTTGTGTCGTTGTCCAAAGCAGATTTTTGGATCAGAATTTATTCTCTTGAGAGAGGCAGCGAGCTGGTTTCTCACCAGGCACAGGTGACATCTCACTTCTTCTTACCACCTGTAAACATCTTCTCTGCAGGCTTTTCCAGCATGAATTTCAACCCCCAAGTCAGATATTTATGCCAAGTTGTGATGTCTCATGCCAGTCTGTCGCCAGACCTCTGTTTCCAGCAACTTCCTCGTGGGCTGGATGGGCCTTGGAGGTTCCTTTCCCAGCTTCCATGCCATTGCCAGATGTATGGAGACACATTTCCACCTGAAAGTGTACAAAGGTTGTGCTCCATTCAACCACTTCCAGATGCTCTTCTTGCTTTCCTGCCTCTGTCCCATGGATATTCTAGATGAGTCCGTGTTTCCTTTCCTCAAGTGCACTGTAAGTGTGAAGGTGTGATCATGCCAAAGCAACTGGTGTTTTTAATTATGTTTTGCACAGAAAAATCAAAGGCTCAGAAAAATCTTACTTCAGTCCACAGTTAATTAGCTTTCCTTTGCCTGACTGGAATTGAAGAGATTAAAATTAGGAAAATTTGTGGCTTCAATCAGCTCTTGCCACCTGTTTAGTACTGTAGGTTTATCTGCACCTAATTCTGTGCATTCATATCTTACCTGCTGTATCATGTTTAGTTTGCTACTCAAAATTTAAATTTAAGCTAGAGGTCATTAAAAATATATTTTTCTGTCTGATGCTGCAGTTGGAATAGTGTGATTTTCTCGTGTCATTGACCTTCATTTGAACAGTTCTCCTTTGCACCTAAATACTACAGTGTGGTATAATACATGGCTGTACTTTGACAGCTTATTGAAAAGGTTGTTTGCTCCACTTTTGTTTGCATGCTTGGAAATGTGTGAATTCCTTCTGGTTTGGATGTGTGTTAGGAAGCTGCAGTCATTTCACAAACCACTTCTGGTTTTTAATAGAGTATTGGCTGAAAACAGGTACCAAAGCCTGCTTTCCAAAGAAAGCCACTTGCCTGCTGTAAGAGCAGTAGTTTTCGGTGGGATAAAGACAAATGAACTCATTTTCCATGCAATAAGTGGTGTTTCACCCAGTGGGAATGTCTTTCAGTGCTTTATTTGACCTGGGTACACGCTTTATATCCTGACCCTCACAGTCAAAGTAGGAGCTGCCACGTTTCAAACAAGACCTTTTTTACATGAAATTTATTCGATGCTGACATTTTCTATTCTCATTGTACCTGTGAGTGCCCTGAACTGTTGTGGTGGGACCATCCAGTTGGCTCCTTGAGTGTGGCAGCTTTTCCAATCCAGTTGTTGTTTCCTCTTGCAGGAAGCAGCAAACATGTTACGGCTTATGCAGAACAGGCTGAAGGAGGAGGAGCAACACCTGCTAAAGAGTGGAGGTAAGTGGCATTTCTTCACCTCTGGTGGTAGTAGAGAAGTTTGGTTGGTTTTTTTTTCCCCAGACTTACTCTTAATTAATTAGAATTCTAGCTGAGGATCAGAAGGGAGTAACAAACTCTTGAGGTTCTGTAAAAAGCTCACAAACAAGATTTTGCTCCTTTTGAGCTAAACATCAGCAAAAACTTCCTCATTGATTGCCCCTGTGAATTTAATATTGCAGTCTGTGCACTTTTACTTGATAGTGGGAGAAACTAGAAGGAAGGTTAATTCTCAGGATCAGAGGAAGAGTTCACAGAAGCTGACATTGAGTAAAGATATAAAAGTTGTGCTTCACAGTTTGCTTGGTGGCTGAGATTTTCAGAGCAGGCATATGAAAGAGGAATTTCACTCATTTTTGCCCATCTTTGATCTCATATCAATGAGATAAAAGGTGAAGACATTTCAGCTGAAATATAGGATTTGTAATATAAATTGCAAGAATGTGGAATTGTGTCAAGGATTCACTTGAGTGAAAAAGTTCACTGCTGTCTGATAGTTTCCAAGGTAAGTAGGTTTCAGAGGACTGTCATCACTCCTCAGTAATTGGCAGTGTGAAGTATAAAGTGAAAATTTGCTAACCTCCTTTCTCCTGTCTGTGGATTTTACTTGGAAAACTGTTCTGTCATTTTGCAGCTCTGAAATAAAAGGAACTTTACCTTTTAGTGAGTAATTTAACTGCCACCTCAGAACGTGATTATGACTTCCAATGAGCTAAAAATATTACAATAACACATCTTTATTCAAGTACTTAATTGTCATAATGAGTATTCATTTTAGTGATAGAGAGCACCAGGAACCTGTTTTCCAGAGCTGGCTCATTTATTGACTGTCCCATAACCTTGGCCAATCGAGTCATCTCTGTCAGCTCCAGCCTACCTTTGTCTGCAGAGGCTGTGGGAGTTTGCAGAGTTGTAACTGAGACAGTAAATTTGGCTCTTGGATGCTGTTTCCCAGTCATGAGCATGGAGGTTAATTTATGGGAGGTTGTAAAGCTCCCTGAGACCACATGGAACAGTCAGGTATGTAAAGTAAGATACACAGGTGTCCCCAGAAACACCAAGGCAGTGGAAAGAATTCAGAAAGTTTATTTAGAAGGCCAGACCCCACTCTGTTCTCATTTTTAGTTAAATGATACCCTTTATACAGTTCAACCCCAAGGGATTTGCCTTGCTAGGAGAATGCAGAGGTTAGTTATGTAAGTGGCATGGTGTCCTGTTAGGGATGTGTTTACAGAAGAGCTGTGTTAATCCCAGGATCCTAATCACAAGAAAAATACGTGTTTTGCACAAGACAAAGAGCAGCAGAATCACTGCAGCTTTGCTTGTCCAGCCTCTCCCAAGGTTAATAGTGCAATGCACTCCAAAACCAGGAAGCAGTGGGATGGAATTTCTGCTGGAGAGGGTTCACAAGAGACCTACAGCCTGATCTGGCAGTGATTTTATCAAGAGGACTGGGAACATGGAAGGAAATGGTATGAAGTGCTACATACATGAGCACTTAAACCTTCCTTGAGTTCTCTTTGGATTTTGAGTGCTACATCCTCCTCCTGAGATAGGATGTGCCCTGTAACGAGCCAGTCACAGGGAATATTAAAAAAGGCCTTTTCTTCACTGTCAGAAACATCTTTCTAAAGTAGGTTTTGGGAGGGGAAATTACTTCACAGAATCATGGAATCACAGACTGGTGTGGGTTGGAAGGGACCTTAGAGCTTCACCTGCCACGGGCAGGGACACCTTCCACTAGCCCAGGTTGCTCCAAGCCCCGTCCAACCTGGCCTTGGACACTTCCAGGGATCCAGGAGCAGCCACAGCTTCTCTGGGCAACCTGTGCCAGGGCTCCTTACCCTCACAGGGAAGAATTTCTTTCCAATATCTTGTCTAAACTGACCTTTTTTTCAGTTTTAAACCATCACCCCTTGTCCTGTCACAACAGACCCTGCTAAATACTTCATTATTCCACTTGGAGTTTTGAGTAATGCCTCCCACATGAAGCAAAGTGCTTTTATCCTGAATTTTCTTCCATCTTTAGTTTGTTGAGAAACTTAGGACTTTTTTTGTCTGGGCCTTCAGCCCAACAGAGACATTGTGCCTGTTCACAGGACAGTTGAAGTGGACCCTGCTCTGACTTGGTCTTGCTCACGCAGCGGGTTCTGGAGACGGAGGGATGAGCATCTGCTCTGCTCAGTGCAGGGTGGGCAGGCTGGTTTGGTGTCCCCCAGTGCCCTAAGATTCTCTGGCTGAATCTCGGTCCAGGGTGGTGAAATGAATTTCATTTGCACAAATGCATTGATTTCCTACCCAGAGGGGTAGCACAGGCCAGCACCTTCTGCAAGGGAAAGGGAAGGTTCTCTCCCTCTCATTACACTTTGCCCCTGAGAGCTGCAAAACACTTAATGAGGTTCTTCTAACTGCCTGGGCTGGCACCTGGTGATAAATTTGTTGCCATTAACTGATAAAAGTCAGTATCCATCCTGCCTCTGTAAGAACTCTTTGCCTACCTGCTAATTGATGCAGTTCTTGTATTGTCTGCATCCCCTGACCTTATCTCCTGCTAATTTGGTAGCAAGGGTTCCAAATCAACAGTTCATTTCTCAGTGCAATACAGTTGTAGGAATCCTGGAAGCTCTCTGTTACAGAGTTTCAGGCTGAACTAACAGCAGAGAAGCCTAAATCATGTTTGTCATCTGAGTTGTGCAGGTCTGTGTTAAGGATATAAAAAGTCCAGGGATATGTCGTGGCATCTCATAAAATGGGCAAAAATGTTGAGGATAACTGATAAACAGTCTGGTTCTTTTTTTCTTTTGCTAGCATGCTTTGCAAATCAGCTTTGATTTCTGACTGAGCATCTCGATAAAACCACTGCACAAAACCAGAAAAAGCCAACACTAAATTATATGAAAAATATGAAAATGACATAAAGATTTTGAACTCTAAATACAGATCAAGCTTTGAGTATTACCTGCATGATGAAAACATACACAGTTAAGTATTTGCAGCAGTATAGAAGTGTCTTTTGTGCTGAGCAGTAAGGAAATTGCTGTTATTTTTCTAATCTTTGCTCTCAGAGAAGCTGAGAGAGGATGTGGTGTCTCACACACCTGCTGCCCGGGTGCCACATCCAGGGCTGGTGCCAAATAAAAAAATCCAGTTGCCTGAAACTCAGGGCTTGGTTTCCTTGTAGTTAATGGTGAAGTGACTCTTCAGACATTGTATTAGACAGTGCTGGGGTGAGCACTGTGCAGGGTGGTGGCAGAGCCAGGTCAGGTGTGGTTACTGGATGCTCTGACACCAGACTGTGTGAGAGAAGGGGGCAAGGAAGGTCACTGACCACAGCAAAAATTCAGGATGTTTTCTCAGGCTCACCCAAGGTTGGAAAACATGTTTGTTGAGCAAAAAGGAACAAGTGTGAATGTTACTAGACTGAAATACAGTTTTCCAGAGTAATCAAATTATTACATTTGCAGATCTTTTTTTCTCCTCACTTTTTTACACATATTTTCACGTGCATTTTCTCACATTCTTCAAGAAGTTTGGGGTTTTTTCCAATTTAAAAGCAGACAGTGTAGAATCACAGGATCCCAGAATGGTTTGGGTTGGAGGGTCCTTAAAGCCCATCTCATTCCACCCCCTGCCATGGGCAGGGACACCTTCCACTAGCCCAGGTTGCTCCAAGCCCCGTCCAACCTGGTCTTGGACACTTCCAGGGATGGGGCAGCCACAGCTTCTCTGGGCAGCCTGTGCCAGGGCCTCACCACCCTCACAGGAAAGAGTTTCTCCCCAGTATCCCATCTAACCCTGCCCTCTGGCAGCGGGAAGCCATTCCCTCTTGTCCTGCCCCTCCAGGCCCTTGTGCAAAGTTCCTCTCCAGCTCTCTGATTTTTCTCTATAAACTATATTTTTAAATAAGTAAAATATTTTGTTTTGAAAATCTTAAAAAAAAAACCCCTTTGAATTTTTCAAAATATTTCCTTCCTTTCTTCACTGACTATGCCACTTTCTGTTATGCTGCTCCAGTCAACCCACCCTACATCCTCTTGCTTGGTGTGTAGAATGGATAAACATCCACGTTCCACAGCATTTGGAAATCTGCACTACTTCAGTTTTGTTCAGCCATAGCCACGGGATTAACTGATGCTCCTGGGTCCACCCTTTGTGCTGCAGAGTTGGTGCTTTAAAATCTGGCAGCAGAAAACAAAAAGCCCCATTGCAGCAACTGTGGGATTTGAGGTGTAGCTGTGGATCACTGGGTAATTCGTGGATGATATTGCTGATGCTCAGCATTGTCACTGCAGGGTGCTCAGATCATCCATCTTCCTGTAACAGACACTTGGAACTAGTCCACAGGAGTTCTTGTGTTGTGCTTGTTAGATAATTGCAAATTCACGTTCTAATTTAATAGTACTTTGATGGGTTCTTGGCTTGTTAGAAATATTATGGTCGCCAAGTATGACCTCTTGATAAAATTGGTTAGAAAATAACTACTAATTCCTGTGCCAAGATTGCACATCCCAGTTTAAATGGAGCTTGTCATCAAGAGTTAATTTTAATTATTTCAAGTGAGAGAGCTCTATTGCTTTTCCGGGCAGTGGTTAATGACCCTTACTAAAATGGGATAGACCAGGTTGGACAGGGCTTGGAGCAACCTGGTCCACTGGGAGGTGTCCCTGCCCATGACAGGGGGTGGAATGAGATGAGCTTTAAGATCTCTTTGAACCCAAACTATTCTGGGATTGTGTGATTTTAAAATGACCAAGCAAGGTCAAAAATGTCACTTGGACCAACCTCTGCAATCTCCTCGTTGCTGTTTGTTGCTATTACTACCCAGTTTTTCTATCCACAGGGCTGAATATCCAGGCTTTCCAGACCTCTGTCAGTAGCTCTCAGTACCAGGATGAATTTTTCCTGGAGATCAGATGACACATCTCAGTTTTATGCTAAGGACAAAGGATGTACCCTCCTGG